CCCTGAAGAATGTTTAGTAAGTTCATGAACTACTCTATTTGCTATTGTCCTAATGGGAATATTTGAGCTAGGTCTTTGAAGTGTAAATAAGAAAATAAAAGCCTGTCCCAAGACAGAAGGGAGAAGACATGTAAGTATCCTTCAGATTTAACTTGGTATCCAGAATATGTCAAGACAGAGCATATAGCATGTATGTTATGTTCATCTGTTTAAATATAGGTAATATGTGTAACTTTGTTGTAGCATTTCTTGAGAGAAATGGGTATGGGTATGAGGATTCAATAGCAATCTCTTTTTTCACTCATTCCATCTCCTATTCTACCCCATTATACCTAAAATTCCTTTATACTTCAAAAATGCAACATTCACTCAAAGGGCCTTTTTGCACAAATTAATTATAATAAAATTATAATTAATCTCTAAAGGTCATAGTCAAGTTCAAGGAAAAAAATTCTATTTTATGTGTGTGCATGCTAGGGATTGAACTCAGGACCTTGCACCTGCCAAGCAGGCACTTATACCAGTGAACTACCTCTCCAGCCTGAAAAAACTTATAGTAGAAGTAAAATAAAATAATTTAAAAATCATAGCAACATTTTCATGAATGCAGTTATTGGAGCAATATGTTTCATAAAAACTGAGATATCTCAGAAGGCTTCTGCATGCAAAAGCCATGACTACCTATATAGTCAGGAAACACATTCGTGCATTCACTCACCTCGAAGTTAAATGCACACTGACATTACTTGAATGCTTACCAGTTTACATGTTCCCTCTTCAACTCAAAATAACTGCAATCCTTAAAATGTTGCTATGATTTTTAATCATTTTATTTTATTTCTATTATAAATTTTTTCAGGTTGGAGAGGTAGTTCACTGGCATAAGTTCCTGCCTGGCAAGTGCAAGATCCTGAGTTCAATTCCTGGCACACAAACAAAAAAATAACAGAATTTTTTTCTTGGACTTGACTGTGACGTTCAGAAAACATTGCACTTAATCTGATATTCAAAGAGCAGTGATTCAAACTCTTCAGAAACATTTTAACTATTTCTGATCAAATGCATATTGAATTAAGTCATAGTCTATAAAATATATTAACTTTCAGCCTAGTTAATTGTTCTAACCATGTACCAAATACATTTTAGTAAGAGGGAAATTTTGAAGCACGTCTTAAAAGTTATATTACATATGAATGTATAGACATAGTTATGTAGGGATATGTACATACATATATATATGTGTATATATAATTTGATGACACATACACTACATAAATTATACTTATGACTTAGGAAAAATAAAATTTCAACCAAACAGCAAAACCCTTTCAATATATATTCCTAAAGTTAGCCAAAGCACTTTACTATCTGCCCTATTCTGAAAAACCTTCATAATGCTCTATAGGAAATACAATATAGGTCTGGGGTGAAAGGAGCACACAAGACAGTTCTTTAAGAATTGGTGGGCTTTTTGCAACATCTACAGGGCCCAGGGAGCAACCACACTAGTTAGGAGGCTTTTCCAATTACTGAGGCAGAATCTGATAGTAGCCTGAGTCCAGATTGAATCCATAAATAACGAAGGTTGCAGAGCTTTGATTCTACACATTCTGGTAGGTACAGTGGTAGGATTTGTTAACAGGCTAAAAATAAGTTGTGTGGAAAAGGGGGTCATTAAATTTGGGAGCTCAACCAAGAGTAAAAGCAAAGTGCTGCAAGATGGGAACAATAGGAGATTGGTTTGGGATGTGTTATAGGTTACTCACCTACATGCTTGGTGGACAAAGCAGTTGCCCCTCCAAGTCTAGAGCTCAGAGCAGATTTGACTAGATCAAAACTTGGAATGTTCAGATTCAGAGAGAATTCCCGGAGCAACTCTAAATGGGAGGATAGAAAAGAACCCTGGAAGCTCCACTCTTCCAGGCAACACAAGAAGCAGAGGAGACAGAGAAGGAATGGCCAGGAAGCTGCAAGGAGAAGCGAGGAGGGCAGGAATATGGACTTGGCAGCCAAGCTGAGGAAGTGGACAAGGCAGGGGCAGAGGGGATGGGTTTAAAAACATGATATAGACAGATAGCCAAGACCTTATGGGCTTGAGTACTAATGTTCAAAATGAAGACAGTATTTGCAAGAATGCCCCAGAAAGTGGGGAGGGGTGAGATACATATATCTTCAAATTGGTCCTTGGGCAAAACAAAAGCCCAGAGGTATTGCTGAGGCTAAACTTCCAACTGTAGGCCTAGTGCTGTGGGTCTTTTTGTTGTTATTGTTGAGGACATCAAAAACCTTTCAAGAGCCATGAAAGCTGAACAGGCAAGCCAGGAAGAGAAAAGGGTCTCTTTAGGGCAGTTTTGGCTAATCTATGGCATGCAGTGGACTGTTTGTATCACTGAAAGCTGTATAAGGTTAGCCATCACTGCTTTAGGGTATAGCAAGAGGACCAAAGCCACTAGCACCAGGCCCTATGAGAAACCCTGCTTTCAATTCAATAAGAAGAAAGGTTTGTCTAATAGTGTTTGGACAGGATATCCTGTCTACATATTGTACTATGGATAACCACAAAGAAGATAACAATGTACAAGGTATTAATTATTGAAACTGTCCTATTAATCAGTTTTGAAACTGTCCCATTTATATTTGTTTCTCAATAAAATAGAATAAAATAAAAAAGAGAAACACTGCTTTCATTCTTCTCAATACACACACACACCTACACACACAGCCCATTTTTGTCAAGACTCATAATCACTATCAATTCACAAAGATTACTGATATCTCCATTATGAGCAGGGCTCCCCATTATTTATCCTGCAGTTTGCCCTGCTTCCTCCCCTCCAAGCAATCAGATAATGAATCTGGAATCTGAGTTCAACAGTTCTCCCCAGAGGCCTCTTTAACCATTGTAAATTAATGAAACATGGGTTAGGGACGCTGGCTTGCTTTATCTCTCACCAGCATTGCTTCCCCAGTACACATCATATGCTAAGGTTTCAAGGGTCCCTAACTCTGTGAGATAACACTTAGCACCCACCTGCAATATCCTAGTAGCAAAATCAGCAACTGCCCACAAACTCCAAGAAACAACACTGGAAACTGAATGGAAGAATCTTGTAGGGTAAGATGAATTTAAGATATGTTAGATAATGGCAACTTCTAAATAACATACAAACTGGATTAAATTCCAAATTCAAAGAAATTTTAAAACAAAAATTAATATTTTACAACAACTAACATTTTGTATGCAACATCAACAAAGCCAAGGCAAGTGACCACCAGTTACTAATTTCTTATGAATACAAAGTCTATTGTATTTCTAGAAAGGATGGTTAGTGATTGTCAAATTTTTGTGTAATTTCTCAAAAACATAGCTGTAAAGTTAACCACAGGGCAAGGATAGGAGTGGATATATGAATTTAAACTTTGTTGACTTAAAATACCAAAGTAATAGTTTCATGCAATATCATATGTTATAAATGAAATGGACATTATTCTCAGTAAAAGTAGATGACAACATTTGTATGCATATAATATCTACTATGCACACTCAAAATAGAAATTGTGTGCTCTAAATCTCAAGTAGTGATTGTACAGGGATGATCTATCAGATCCACCAGCTGGTCCATGAGTCTCTTATTTGTTTCTAGTATGAACTGAATCTTCAAAGGACAAATGGTTCTCCCCAGAATTTTTTACCACCAGCCATTGACTGAGGATGTTTAGCATTTATAGGTTTCTTAAAAAGATTGCTGGACAGAAAAAGTTTAAGAAATCATTGCTAGAAAGTACTAATGAAAAGATATATATCACTACAAGGTGATTAAAATCACGATTTGTCTAACAAATCCTGTAGTCTTGTTTGACCAGCGGTAGCCAACAGGTTTTGTGACAATGACCTATCATCTGATTTAGCCATTATTGCATTTCCACAGCTGAGGGCGCCGAGTAACTCGAAAGCCCAACACCATTACACCTCAATTATCTACAACTTTAATTATAAGTGGTTAGCATCAGTTTTAATCTTGAATTTGTGGCATCTTGACACAAAATTTAAAACTAAGTCTTGGAGTAGGTTCACAAGTCACCAGACTAGGGAGCCAAAAGGTGAACATCTAAATACTTTTATTAAAATGTGTACAAACATATGCGAAATATTCTATCGTAATACAAGACACTATATAAAGTATAGCAATAACTGAATTTTACTAATAAACCCTAAACCACTGGGGATTCAAATATTAAGCAGAAAAAAAGGGGAGAAGACACTAACCAAGGGTATTTTATTGTGGCATAGCAATATTTCCTATCAAAACTTACAAGCTCTTTTCACAAGGACGTTAAAAGTACCTGTGTCATGCTAATATCTTCATCTGCGAGGAACCCTTGCCACTAGAGAATAAAAATACAGATGTTTCAGATTGTTCACTTTCTATATCTCCCTGCAATGTGTTACTTTTATGCCTTGCTTTAAGACTGGGTGCCTGTAGACCCCTGGTTAAGTGAAGTTGGTGGACATAATTTTCAACTCTGCCTCAGAAATCACTTTCAGCACTGTTTAAGCCAGACCCATGCACGATGGGGTTTTTGAAACGTCGATGCAGTGAGACCTTGATCTTTACTGGATCCACAATATAAGGCTTTTGAACAAAGTTGTTTCTTTCATTCACCTCCCTCATTTTCTCCCTGCAGCCACCCTGGCCATACCTCTAGGAATTCCTAGAGGGAACACCTAGAGGGAAAAGTTCCCTTTCCTCACTGGAGAAACTGATTCTATTTCCTTTTGCAACTGGGGTGCACGTGACAGAGTTTCCTTCTGGCTCCTACGTCACATCTTCCCAGGGAAGCTAGGGCTGCTAGGCCCTAAGTGAAGTGTAATCCTGGGTGACCCCTAAAGGTGTTGAACTGAGGCTTGCTTTGACTGGGAGACTCAGGGTTCCTCTTGTCCCTGGCACCTCCGAGGTCCTCTCCCCAAGGTGGCCCTCTGCCTGGGCCCTCGCACTCACCAGAAGAAGATTGTGAGCCACCAGGTACCCGAGCCGAGGGCTGCCGGGGATTCCCGGGGCTAGGCGCCCGGTGGCATAGCCGTGCCAGGCCACCACGTAGGGGTTGTCGATGGTGATCCAGTATTTGACTTGGCTGCCAAAGTGGCGGAAGCAGAGCTCAGCATAATCCCTGAAGTGGTCAGCCAGGGAACGGTTAGCCCAGCCACCATAGATGTCCTGCAGGCGCTGGGGCAGGTCCCAGTGGTACAGGGTGACCACGGGCTGAACGCCCAGCTCCCGCAGCCTCTCCAGCAGGCGCCGGTAGTAACGCAGGCCCTCGCGGTTGGGGGCGCCCGCGCTGCCATTGGGGAACACACGCGCCCACGAGATGGAGAAGCGATAGTGAGTGACCCCAAGCTCGCGCAGCCCCTCGGTGTCACGGAACACGTTGTTGTAGCCATCGCTGGCCACGTCTCCAGTGGTAGGTAATGGGGCTCCCGACGGCTGGCCGGCCCCGCTGGGGTCGCTGGCGGCCGCGGGGGGCCGATGAGTAAAAGTGTCCCAGATGGACGCGCCCTTGCCGTGCTGCCGCCAGCCTCCCTCGGTCTGGTAGGCGGCGCTGCCCACAGCCCAGAGGAAGCCGTCGGGGAAAGTGTCGTGGAGGAGGCCCGCGGCCTCGGGCACCGGGGGGCGCGCGAAGCGGGCCCAGGTCTGCGCGCCGTCGCCGGGCTCCGCGCGCAGGCAGCGGCC